AATAAGTACATATAATAAAAATAATATAAGTAATGAAAATAAGACTATATAATATTTATAATAAAAAGTAAACTATTTGATACATATAATATAAAGTCGACTAAACGATACATGTATTACATATATGATATTTAGCGCAGTTGACGATTATTTTAAGGTACAGTACGAACTGCGGCTAACAATTCTTCCCTCCTAATTTTCGAACTCCAAGAGAAATTCATCAGTTTCCTCCTCTTCTCTAATAGAAAGTTGGTGAGCATAATTAACTAAAGCTCTAAACTCAAAAGCTTTGAGTTATCGTATAGTTGAAAAATTAATAATTCGAGTCTGTTGGATTTGTTCTACTCCTAGAAACTCAAATAAATAATAAATCCTGGTAACTCCTAGTCGATAGTAAATAGTTACCATATTTCGCAACATCATTCTTTCAGAAGAATTGGTTGATTCAGTTTCCAAGAGTTGTCCTAGGTAATAAGCATTTACAAGGATGAGTACACAATCCCTTATCCTACATGCTTTTAGTAACGCTCGATATGTACTTTGAACTTTTTGCTGTAAAGTCATATCATCATTAAAGGTGCTCTTAAAGGAATTTCAAGAAAAGAATCTCGTTCTAAATCTGCACATAAAGGTTGTAGTCGGCGAGAATTAATAATTTCAGACATTATAAAAGATTTACTTTACATTTCCATGTATCAAAAGGGTATATATATAAAAAAAATAAATAAAAAAAAAATAAACTAACTAATCTAATCTTCATGATAAGCATTTAATAACTGTACATTTACTGGTGCACATAAAACTCGTTCTTCCATCTCGCGTAACTTATATGATCCATTTATCAAGATTTCATGAATGTAATAAGGTCCTTTCCATTTTGGATCTAACTTTCCAGATCTTCTCATTTCATTTGCTGCATTGTAGTATAAGACTTTATCTCCTATTTCAAATTGAGATCTCATTTTGATTTTCTTATCATGCTGATTTTTCTGTTTTTGTTAGCTATTTGTGATCTGCAATTTAGCTTTAGATCTTATGACTGGTAAATCATCTATCAATTCCTTAATTCTGGTATTTATATTACTATGTGATTGCTCATTTAAAGGATCGTCAGTAGGTAACTTTGCTGATTTCCCATATAATAAATAAAAAGGTGCTATTTTTGTAGTTGAGTGTCGACTTGTACGATAAACAAATAATACTGGTGCAATATAAAGATCCCATTCTTTATCATGTGTTATCAACTTTACCAAAGATTCACTTAAAGTTCTATTAAATCATTCCACAAGGCCATTTGTTTGTGGGTGATAAGGAGTTGAAAAATTATGTTTAATCTGAAATTTTTCCATCAATCTCACAATCAATTGGTTATTAAAATGGGTCCCTCTATCAGATAAGATCTTTTGTGAACATCCATGTTGACATATGATATCTTCATAAATAAAATTAGCAACTTGTTTCGCAGTAGCTTCTGATAAGACTCTAGCTTTAGGCCATTTAGTCATGTAATCTATTGCTGTTACGATATATCTATTTTTCCTTTCTGTAATAGGTAAAGGTCCTACAATATCGATTCCTATTCTATAAAATGGATTTCCTGTATCTATTGGGTGTAAAGGTTTAGTTCGTTTATATTTCCCCCTCCTTTGACAAGAGTCACATTTTTGTACATATTCTCGTATACTTTCATACATCTGAGACCAATAATACTGCATTCTAATCTTGTCAAATACACTATCTGTTGATAAATGTCCTCCTAAAGGATCATTATGTACCATATATAATAAAGCATCTAATTCACTATTTCTTATTACTCTTAATAATCGTTTAGGAGTAATAGTTTTTACTTTATATAAAATATCAAATTTAATAATGTAATTCTTTGATTGTCGTTTAATCCTTTGTTTTTCTATTGTTGTTAAATTTTGTGATAATGATTCTGTTCTTAAATAATTAAAAATATGATTATAATATATGTCATCCATTTCGTTATAGAGCTGTATATCACACTGTAGACACTTACGCTTTCACTCTAGTTATTATCCTAATGAAATCAGTTTTTAATACAATAGAACTTCGTCAAGGAGTTCTTCAAGTAAATTTGCTAGTAAAATATTATTATTTTGTTGTTGTATCGCTAATGGTTCTTCCCAAAATACATCATTGCAAAGATAATTAGGGTTCATGTCAGGTTGTATTTATCCCAATCCATATCCTATAACACAATTATGAATAACTGTTCTATAGTGTAGATTCTTTTTGCAAGCTTTGCAATAGGTATGAATATGATGGTTCTCAGTATCACAATTAAAATTACATTTGGATCCTCCTTTTATAATAGGTTGTCCAGCGATAACTTGTTTAACTTTAATAAATTCACGATAGATATCTTCTAATTCCTCTTTAGGTGATTGATATCCAACAGCAGTAATTAATGGTTTATTTGCAAACTGTTGATACAATTATTCCTCAAACCATAATTCTTCAGAATCAGGTGTTGAACTTTCTTTTATTGAGGAATGCCATTCGATTTCAGGTTCTTCATCACAAATAGACACCATAAAACCTCACGAATATCTTCTTTTTCAGATTGTTCTTCATTAATTCTTGACAAGGCATCAGCATTTGCATTGTATTTTCCTGACCTATGCTGAATAGTGTAATTATAAGGTTGTAACTCCATCATCCATCTAGCACGTTGTCCTTTTGGTATTTTAGATGTTTGTAACCATTTTAGTGCTGAATGATCTGTAATTAATTCAAATATAAATGTGCATAAGTAATGATGAAAATGTTGAATAGCCCATACTATCACTAAACATTCTTGATCTGTAACTGAATAATTCTTTTCTGCTGAAGTTAAACTTCTACTAGCATATGCGATAGGATGTTCTCTTTCTTCTTTATCTTTTTGTGCTAATACAGCTCCTAAACCTATTCCTGATGTATCGGTATATAGATAAAAAGTTTCATCAAAATTCGGATATTGTAAAATTGGTACATTAATCAAACAATTTTTTAAACGGTTGAATGCATTTTGTTGCTTTTCAGTCTATTCAAATATCTATCCTTCTTTAACAAGGTATTTATAGGTTTTGCAATTCGTGAGAAGTCTTTAATAAACTTTCTATAATAAGAGAATAACCCTAAAGCTGATCGAACTTGAGATACATCTTTTGGTGTTGGTAAGTCTTTTACCTTTTCAATTTTTGCTGGGTCTGGTTGAATACCGTCTCTTCCAACTATATGTCCTAGAAATGTTAGATTAGGCATACAAAAACTACATTTCTTCAATTTAATCCTCAAATTAGCTTCTCTCAATGCTTGAAAGACTTGTTTAATATGGTCAATATGTTGTTCAAAAGATCTTGAATAAATTATGATATCGTCTAAATACATTGAGACAAATTTAGCTGCATATGGTTGTAGAACATAATTCATCAATCTTTGAAAAGTTCTTGAAGCATTACATAACCCAAAAGGCATTACGTTAAACTCATATAATCCAAAATTGGTGATAAAGGCAGTCTTTTCCTTGTCCTTTTCTTCCATTTCAACCTGCCAATAACCACTAGCTAAATCTAATGTAGTAAACCAATTTGCTGTTCTAAATGATTCTAACATATCATCAATCCTAGGTAAAGGGTAAGCATCCTTTTTCGTGACTGCATTTAATTTTCTATAATCGACGCATATTCTTTTATCCCCAGTTTTCTTTGCTACAATTACTACTGGTGAGGTCCATAGACTTTTTGATTTTCTAACAATACCTTTGTTTTCCATGTTTTCAATTTCTTGACGCAGAAATTGTTGATTATCTGGACTACATCTATACGCCGTTTGTGCAATTGGCAAGTCTTTTTCTAAAATTATGGAATGTTTGATGATGGCAGTTCGTCCTGTATCTGTTTGACTTCCAGCACACAAATCATTATTTTCTTCAAGGATTTGTTGAAATGTATTCTGTTGATGAGCATTTAATGGTCCAACTTGTAGTTTAGGTTTTTCTTGTTCTTCCTTTGGCAAGTCAGCTAGATACACACTTGGGTATTTATTTGTATGTATTCTTGCACGAATTTCTTCCAAAATTCTATCTGCATATTTAGTATGAGTGGGAGTTATTTCTCCTTGTTCTGCCATATCTGCATATTCTTCAAAGCAAAATGGCCACCATTTTCCTTGCTTCTCTGGTTCAGTTTGTTCAAAGGTCCAGTTTGGTGCGATTTTAGTAATGTATACATTACAATCGTAGAAGTCATCATTAAAAAAGTAGTCTACATCTTCAGGTTTAATTGGGATACCTGTTTTCTCATACTTTTCCCTTAATACCGCTTGAAGTGATGTTTTATTAGGTTCTACTTTTCCACCTGGCACTTGCCACATTTTATACATTTCTTTTCGTAGATTAATTCTTTGTGACATAATAATATCCTGGTGGTCATACATGATATTCATTACATATTTTGGTTGAGTGTTATTTTCAACTTCACTTAAGAATACGTCATATTCATCCAAGTCTTCTTCCTCATATTCGTCTAAAACTTGGTCTAAATTTTCTCTTTCGTCTACCATTCCTTCTTCAAAGAGGATGTTAAAAATAGCTCGTTTAGTTACATATGAAATAGAAACAGTTTGTGTATTAAAGTCAAGATTCATTTTGGTTTTTCTATACCAATCTACTCCTAATAATAATGTATCCTGTGGCGACTCAATTACTTGAAGTTCTACTGGAACCGATACATGTTGTATAATTATTCTTGCTTCAGTAACTTGTCCTAATACTCTTACACGACTTCCATTAGCCGTGGTCACAATTAATTTAGAAGGTTTATCAATATTAAATCCCAACTTTTTAGCTAACTTATTGGTAATAATGCTAACAGCTACTCCTGTATCAATTATAACTTCGATGGGGTTATTCTTAATTCTAATATATGTCTTGCAGGAAGTTGTTTTCTTTCCTGGTTTATCATCTATGAATTCCAAGGAATTAACACTAGGTGTTGATATAAGATGACGTCTTAAGGCGTTTGCTAAATTCCTCCTTTGGGCTGGTATTTGTAACCATTGCCCTAAAGTCACAGAAGATTGTTTTGATAGAATATCGTTAGCTATATTATATGGTGCAAGATTATCAATTCTGGAAGGATTTCACGCTCTTTTAGTTAGTTTTTGTTTAGGAGTGGATTCTACTTCCATTTCAGTTGGGTTAATAACACGAGTTCTAAGATTCATCTCTTTATTTGATTCGAACGTTCTAATCATTTCTCTTTATCGTGTTCTTGCATTCTTCCTATCAGTGGTATATGGTCAGGATCTTTCTCCTGCATATACTTCAGATGTTTCCTCTTCTTCTTCGTCATCAGTAAAAACTTCAATTAAATTAACATTTCTTGGTTTTGCTTTAGAAGATCTTTCAGACAAGCATTCTCTAGAATAATGTCCTTTTTCCTCACATCGCCAACAAACCACTTGGCTTTTATCAAAAGGTTTTCTATCATTATTATTCCTTGTAGTATTCATGCTTTTAGGTGGAATATTTGTGTTCCTTGAAGTCCCATTTTGTGCTGCTAACACGTTGACAATATTTGCATAATTGAGAGAAAGTTGTTCCATTTGCTTTGTCAACGCTTCAATTGCATCATTATTAGTGACTTGTGGGGATTCTTTCATATAATATGTTCCTGCTTCAGTTGCTCTAGCTTCATTCACAACTGTTCTAAGATTAGCAGGGTCTGCCATTGCGACTCTTGCTGCAATATTAGGTTTTAATCCATTTAAAAATAATCTAATTTCATAATCATTTGGTAAATTATCGCCTGGATCAACTAATCTTTTAAGGTTGTTGAATCTAGCACTGTAAGTATCTACGCTTTCATTTGTCATTTGTTTGATATTAGATAACTCATAATGCCATT